GACGTTTTTATTGACTCTTTTGTTTTGCTGAGCATCTTTACATCTGTTTACCATACATTTCTTGTAACTAATTTTAGGAGTAGCTGTAAAATAATTCTAAGACTATCATTCATTCTGCATTGCTAAATCATAAATTAGAAGTGCAGAACTGCTTGGCACTGAGCCTTCTATCACAATAAACACGTCTTCTAGTTCTAGTGTTGGTTTTAAGAATTGTATACTGGGTAACTATGGATCTATCACAAATGGAATCAAGGGTCACACTAACAACATTGGAAAAGAGAGAAGAGATGGGACAGACTTTTATTCAAGCCTCAACCAGTGAAAACACAGATAATATAGAAAATAATCTTATTACAGAAGCTAATAGAATGCTGGGGGTAATCATGGATTTGTGCCCCGAACATACAAACACCAATGTAAAACAAAGGGAAAGAGTTAAAATCAGAGAATACGTGGCAAAGTTATACGGATTTCTACACGAGATGTATGCAATAGTTAAAGAGGCAAGGAAAGAAAAAGAAAAGAACACCAGAAATCAACAAAAAGTGCAACAAGGAACCCAAAAACCCACATATAGTGAAATGGTGAAGAAAAATATTAAACCAAGCATAACAACTAAGAACATAGAAAAATCTTTACATCAAAAACTCAACATAGAAGGATCAGGCGGGTCACATGCAGTGCTGATATATCCAAAAGTACAAAATGATGGAGAACAACAAATAAACATGGAAAAAATAACTGAAGAAATTAAAGGGAAAATCGAACCACATAAATTGAAAATTAAAATTAAAACAGTAAAAAAAATTAAAGATAATGGAATCTGCATAAGGGTAGGGGATAAAGATCAAAGTGTTACATTAGAAAAAGCCATTAATGAGATCGAAAGTCTGAATAACAAAGTTACATGTAGGCGCTCGGAAGGAAGAAGGCCCAGAATTATAGTTTTAAACGTCCCACAATCTATTCAAGAAGAAAATGTGACAAAAGATATTTATAGGCAAAACGATATATGGGAAGACATAGAGGAGGAGGAATTTTATAATGAATGCAAGATAAGCACAGTGATAACAAAGGGCAAACGTATTGAAAACTGCAGACATATAGTCCTGTCAGTGACACCTCTCATCCGCAATATTTTTATCAGAGAGAAACACGTTTCGATAGACTGGGCTACACTTAAAATTGATGA